TAATTTGAACTAAACTATGAAATATTTTTCTCTAACCAAATCTCTTAATAAGGAAATTGGGTTACTTTAACAATACAAATATATTACATGTAAAAGTGTGACCTAATTTGCAAAAAGAAAAGGTCTGATATAATAAATTTTAAAACTAATCTCAGAAATTTACATAGGAAACGTAGAAAAGTTCAGTGTTTTAAAATAATACACCATTTGAAAAGTCATAATAAATAAAAAACGTGTTCTATATAACTAAAATGTGGTTATGGAAGTATTGCATAATTTATAATGTGGCGCTAAGTACCACGCATGGAAGTAAGTAATTATTTTATTTTATGAATAATTTCGAAAAATAGCTGAACACGATGAAAGTACTGCAGTAAAATGCATAAAATCAATTCTGTTTTCACATTATCTTTTAACATTAAAAACAACAAAAAGTGAATTATATCCACCAAATAAACCTGACTCCCTAAATTAAAATTTCTAAGCAGCGAGACAAAGTAAGATGACTTTTGATAATGGTCCTTGCTTCCGCACTCTTTATAATACAAATAAAGTTAATCTACTGCCAGTATTTCTTTTTGTTCATAGCATTTAAATTATGCTTTTATTATTACATATTAATTATTACTGATATCATTCACTTCAATGTACAATAAACAGTGCTTACCTGAAAATGTAGCACAGACGATGTGTTCGGTGAACAGAACTAAAAAAATAGTTGCGAAAATCCTTAAGACAAACAAACGCTATGCAGACAACAAACTCTTTCATCAATCTCTAGACATACTAGATACAGTAGAATGTGAATCCATTCACCACAGAATATAGTTCAATGATTTCGAAGTACCACATCAATAAAAAGGCGCTAAAAACTGTTAATAATTTTAACAAAAAAAGGAATAATTAAAATTGCAGGCTATTAGCATAAAAGAATCATTTATTTAGAAAGGTTTACTGAAACACATAGCAATGAATCGGGGGCGGGGGGGAGGTCAGCGCAAAAGAATACCTCCCATTAAAGAAGAATTACGTGAGCAAGATCTAGAAAGGTCAGGGTGGGGAAGACTGCAGATTTCTTGTCATCACATTAAACGTTTACTGCTATGTGTATGTGACATCTGTATGACATTCACATCCACATCACAATGCAACACTTCTGCGATAGAGATCCTGGTCCTCTAGGCACTTGACATTTGGGCCCCCTACTATCTCGAAGCTATTTTGGAAATTTAGCAAATTAAATGCACTAGACAGAGCATATAAATTTTTAATGACTTTAATAAACATCAGAATTCTGAATAATACTGTCTATGTTACTATAGCTACGTTATTCTGTAAATTTTATAGAATCATATGACGAACTTTCTTCTGTGTAAAAGAACGGATGATGTCATCATGGTCAATTGACTGCATTATTTATGACTGTATGTACATTACAGAGAGTGAATTGAGCCTGTTCTCTCCTGTGTTAGATCTGAAGTAATTCTTTACTCTCTTTAGCACTGAAAATGACTGTTCTGCGAAGCAATTTGACGCTGGGGTACACAACAGCACTCGGAGTGCAATTCCTACATTCAGATAAATGTCCAAAAAGCCTTTTTCTGATAAGTATCAGTATAGCCTCAGTTATGATAACTCCATAACTTCATCATTCGACGACAAGCTTGCAGGTGAAGACACTTGTTTTCCAAAGTCCTATCCAAATCCCCGGATAAAAAGTTATGAGGTTTCTGGTTCCTTCATTGATGTATTTAGATTCCAAACGATGTATTTTTGTCAGAAAGTTAAACTTTTTACTTAATTCCTCATAAGCAGATCTGCATCTCCGGAGTTCTGTAATTAGTCTATCTATAATGACATTAAAAATGTTAACTTTGAATCTGGCCCTGCCAGAGAGTTCGGTCTTGTTTTACTTTGTTAAACTGGACTTTACGCTTACATTTTCTCTGCATGTCATATGCATAGCTATTTTCACCGCATTTTTAAATAACTTTTGATTCGTAATAATCAAAGGTAATGGGTTTCCTTAAGTGTTCTAGGTATGTTACCAAAGACTGTTACAGTTCAACAATCATAGCCAGGTCGATGTTAACAGATTGGAGAGATTTGCTTACCTTGTTAAACCTTTCCAAGATGTCACACCAGAGAAATGACAAAAAGCAAGTTTCCATCAAGTGTAATGAATTCAGAAGACTTGAAGCCTCAGAGCTCATTGATGGTTTTTCGCTTGCATCATTGGCAGTTATCTGAAGAGCTGCTATGATCTATCATCCCAGGAGCAATATAAACTTTCCCAGGCTTCAGCTCTAGCAGACCATTTTTTCTGAGAAAGACTCTTCACGACTGTTGAATTTGACAGCAAAATTTCCCATCTGTTTGTTGATGCCGAAAAAAATTATACGACTGCAAAATACTGAAGAAAGATATAGCAGCTTGACAAGACTCGACCGCATAGGATCCAGCAAGATTCAGTGAGTGAGCCGAAAAAGGAACGAAATCTATCAGAGTGTTCGCTTGTTTTATTCTCGCTTGAAGACCAGAACATACACCTAACATATTGCTAGCATTGTTGTAAGACTGCCCCCGGTAATTGGCGATAACCAAGTCGTGAGTTTTCAATGTCTTTAGGATGACTTTAGCCAGGTCTTCTGCTTTATGGCCACAATTTGGAATGAATTTCAAAAATCGTTCGACAGGACATGCGTCTTCAGAGACATATCTCACTATGAAAGTTGATCTACATGAGAAATGTCCGGAGTAGAGTCCACACAGGTAGAGGAATATTTGGCATGCTTTATCTCAGTCACGATTGTATTTATTACCTTTTCTGCCTTGATATTGATCATTTCATCGCATATTTTGGAAGAAAGATATGATGTTGTGCGACTTCCTTTGTTACTGTGGCATTTTATGTGTTAAGTCCAGAAAAAGATGAAACTCAGTTAAAAGTTCTAGGGTCATAACATAGTTCCCACTGTTTTTTGATCTAAATCTCTCATTGGAACCTCTAAATGTCAATCAGCGTGCAGAAAGTGACTTCACAACAGCCACAATGCGCCTCAAAAACTTCATGCCAGTATTTTATTTGTTTTCCCATTTTAGGACCAATACTCGTATCAACTCTACCGCTAGCATTTTTACTAGCTAATAGTGTCACAAGGACTGACTTGTGTTCATCCGAATTCTCATGTTCCTTCATTCTTTGAACTGTGTTTTTCCAGTCGTTATACCCTTCATTAGCTAGCAATCCCAATTTCCTAAACATCTTACAAGGGGCACAAAACACTGGACCCCTGCTCTTTGAAGACATGAGCCAAGGTTGAGGCTGTGTTTCACCATTGCTTTAATTTTACGGCTAAAAAGTGACAGCGATAGATAACTGGTTTTATCTGTGTACTGACACCTTGGAGAAGAAAAGTCAGCATCAATATTTTGTTTCATGCCATTTTGAATAAGGTTCTCCAACGTAACTTCGTCTAGCATCCACTCAGCATGATCGTCACTTAAAGATGAATTAGATTGAGGATTTTCTAAAGAATGGTTTTTTGTAGCTGTTATGGGTTTTCCAGAAATAATGTTTTCAGGTAGCTCGTTGCAGCCAGACACATTTATTGGAGTTGCTTGTTGATGGTCACCAGCAGCATCACTACAACTGCCACAGGCTAATGCACTAGTACTACTAGTACTAGGACTAGAGCCAGAACTAGGTCTAGATGTAGACGAGACGAAAAATGTGTTTAACTTAGGAACATTATAAAAGCTGTTTTTCGAATTTTTTTATTTTGTTTTCTTTTTTCGAACCCGCTTAGTTTTTCATTGAAGTCAGACATCGCAACATTGGTAATTTCTATAACAAATATAAAAGGAGAGGTTCATTAAACAATAGGAACCGCTCGTCCATTTCTGTGCTGTATGCGAGCGAGATGAATGACCCTATCTCAAGCATCGACACAAGAAGACTAGAGACAGGAGAGTAAGCTTGTGTGGAGGGGGTAGGCTAAAAAATTAGTCCTAAGTAGGCGGATCTTGTGTATATGTACACTGCACATTGGAACGAAATTTGCTTTCTGTGCCATGTTTAAAGCTTGACTGTTGGTGCAGAACACAGCTTACAAGAGAGAAGGGAAACAAAGAGGCCTAATTCTTGCTTTGTTGTGCACAGGGCTGCAAGTTATAGTTTTGGCAAAATGTAGTAAAAATATTTATTATAATTATTTTCAATAAACCTTTTTGATAATGCAAGCTGGGCTTTTGAGCTTATGTAAAGATTCCGCCACTAGGCCCCTAGGCCGGGGCCTTGTAGGCCTAGGCAGAAATCTGGCACTACTTGCAGGGTATCATCTTCTATATACATAGTGCTGAATTATACATGCTGACACAAATCGTTTTGCCAAAGATCCTAATTCTTAAATATTTTAATGTTGTTGTGTGATCCATAATTATCATGAGCACAACATGTCAGTTCAGTGATGTGGTGAGACTGGTGTGGTTCTCATCCATTCTGCACTTACAAATTCCATATACACATATTGCTATTACTTCATTTGAAAGGGGTAGTAAATGTTTTTTTCCTGCAAAATATGGTTTTGGATTTTTCTCTTGTTTAATTACTTTGCTGAAATAAATACCATTATCTCACACTCTGGCTGAAATAAATACTGTCATCACAGTAGAATATTTATGTTAGCCATACAATATCATGAGCATGAATAAGTTTATTTTTGATTGAAGAAAAGGCATTAAAATTACCTTTTTGTTTTTACATGCAGCATTCTGATAAGTGTGTGCTTAAATATCCAACTGAAGTAGACTTGCCAGTTCTTAAGTGATTCACTCAAAATGCAGGTGAAGTGGTACTTCTAAGAGAGATAGCTGTTGAATGATTTGCTCTAATAGATACCTATTTTAAAAATTATTATTATTTAATTTATAAATATTTTAACTATGTAGTAATGTGATATTTTAAATTTAAATTTTGTTGACTTTGATTTTTATTTCAGTGTTTTTTCAGACATTGTTCACATGGTGACCATTCTTAGATTATGGTTCTTCAGGCAGACCAAAACAAAAATACAACTTGTATTGATAATGGTAAATGCCAGCTTTTGTGCTCTGGACTAAAAACTAAAGCTTGGGATGACTTGGTTCCTGTACCAAAATGCCTGCTTCCATGGTCTTCTTTCTTAGTTTTTGCCGTCGCAGTTTTATGTTTCTCAAATAGCATTTATGGAGAATTTGTTTTTGATGACTCGGAAGCTGTTATAAATAATTTGGACTTAAAACCTGATACTCCTTTGACAAATATTTTCAAAAATGATTTTTGGGGTACGAAACTTACTCATAATGCAAGTCACAAGTCATATCGCCCTCTCACAGTTTTAACATTCAGGTACCTACTATTTATATAATTTTATATTGAAATTGTACATCATATTTTATTATGCAGTATAAATTTTAAAATTTATAAAAAAGGAACTGTTATTAGTATTACCATTCTCAGCTGGTATCTGTGTTTTATATCCTGTATTGTAATTTGCTGTTTTAAATGTTATACAGTAAAGCTGCAGTCACTGTAGATAAATTAGGTACTTTCTGATTAGCTGTATGCCTTCTGAAAATTATGAACTTGGTAACTAATTTTCTATGAAGCTAATGTACAAAAGGCAACAACCATTTTCAAAAGAGTGGTTTATTAAGAATTTTGTGCAAAAGCAGTCAATCAGTAAAATTAGAAAGGCATGAAACATTAACAAAACATTTTTTTCAAGGAATCCCTTTTTTTCCCACTTTTGTTTCTTGCATGCACACAGCAATCTGTTTTCACTCCCTTCCCCTCAAAAAATCACAAACTTAGCATGGAACAACTTTAGCATTGCGCATCAGCCAAAACAGACATGCTTTGTGCATGCCTGGGTTACCATGTAAATACTTTTGAGACATAGCATGGGCTGCCACATGCCACTATACTGCTTTGCCTCATAAATATTTTTCATGACCTTTCATTAGGGCTGCAGATGATCAGAAAGTACCATAATTAATTTTACAGTAAATCACGTTTTATATGTCTTTCAAAGGACTGCTAAAAATGACAAGACACATGTATAAGCAAGAAATGTAATCCAAATTTTAGATTATAAATGTGATGCTGTATGGTTTAAAATGAATACTATCTGTATTAGAAAATGAGTCGCCATGCATTTATTTCAATTATGCATCATGATTTAATATGCATTTTACGAAGTTTTTAACACTGACATTTCTCCTAAAGAAAAATATTCCTCAGGTGCTGCCTAGTGCTATTTGATTTTGAGCCCTAAGCAAATCGCTAGGAATGCAAAGGGCAAAGAACAATCAAAATGTGCTTATCAGTAGATTCCTGTTAGTCATGGGAAATACAGCAATTAAGTATCTCCCATGAGTAAACTGTCTGGTCAGCGGGTTTATTGATATGATTCTAGCATTCAGTTTTCTGTTTCATCCCTGCAAATGTATGTCTTTCTACCAGCCAGATTGGAACACCTTTCTATTCTGAGATATCGCACCTTATCATTTCTCCTTGTTATATGGCAGAGCACAAAATCCTAACACTACAAAAAGAAAGGAGTGACTTTTTGAAAAACTAAGGTGCAAAATAAATGCCAGTCTGTAAGTCAGTGTGAAAGCAATATGCAACGTTTTATGTGTCACATAAATGAAATATTTTTCTATTATTGGAAACAAAGATGAAATGACATTTAAATGTAACAGATGTAGAAATGATAAATGTATGTCGTGCTTCGCTGTACAATAAAAATGGGAATACAGTTATATAATAGTGTGTAGACCATTCTGTGTTTATTGATGGAAAGCCAAAACAATATTCTATCATTTAACATTTAATCCTTTCGAGACAGCGCACATTTGTTTAAGAAGTTTCATCAGGGTGGATGGGAGTTGAAAGGAATCATCCCACAAGATGGGGGTTTTGCATTGCTAAGCCTAATTTTAAAACAAATATTCTCTGTCTGTCTCCCCCCCACAAAAGCTTAAGTTCTACCATCATAATTTTTTGCACTATTTTAGATTATTACTTAAGCTATCATATGTGTTATGTATTTAATATTCTTTTTTCTTTACTTGAAAATATGTAAAACAAATTGCTTAGATTGAGAAATAATTTTCTATTCAAATTTCGCTATTCAAATTTTTCCAAAGTTTTAATTGACAAAGTACATTAATAAACTTTAAAATTAATAAAAATACAAGAAAGACTATTTATAAAAAGAAGTAACAAAATCTTTCACGGAAAGTAGAAGGCTGACAGTCAGACTTTGATAAAATGTCCATATGAGAATCGCTAGAAATATCATTCTCCAACTCTTTAGGAAATGAATCATCATTCTTGTCCATGTCACTTAATGGTTTAGTTACCACGTGCATATATCCTTCCTCGGATAAATAATGCTTTCTCGGCATAATAAACTAAAGTCAAGGCTTTCTGAAATAAAAAGGCAAGTACGTGAAATATAAGAGATAAAAGCAATGCAAAGTGTAATAGAATTCCACATAGTAACCATAAAAGACCATACATAATATTAAGAAAAAAAAAAGGGATTTGATGGGATATCAGAAACATAACTGTTTGTATCTCATGGGGAGTTAAAGAGCCGACACTTTTTATCCTGCAACAGCTGTCACCAATGTTCTGCAGCATGTGATGAAACTGAAGTTCAGGATCCTAAAACTATATTCAGTTCAAAAGTAATGGACACAGGATGCCCTCTAGTGGTCTTTAAAATATGTTTCAGTTTAAAATGCATACGTGAATCACTCGTCCCTTGCGTTAGTTCTCCAGTGATACATTGGTGGGACACTCAGCTCTGAGAGTGGTTCGTAAGGAATGCATGGATGGGACACCTGTCTTGAAAGGATTAATAGTAAATCAAATGTGCATTGTTCATGTAAATCTAAATAGACTTCTATAAAAGACAGAAATTCTCACAACTCGAGATCAGAGATTGTTCAAATTTTTATAGTTTTAGGTCTTAAAAGAAAAATCACTAGATTTATGCTTAAAAAAGTATAATAAATGATAGCAGATAAAGCATAAAAGTCATTGGGTCTGTGACACTTAGCTGATGGGACATTTATCTGACAGGACATTTAGCCAACCATGATCATTTAGTATATGGGACATTTAGCGGACAAGACATTTAGCTCATAGCATGTTTGATCAAAAACACATTTAGCTGACACCTGTATATATAGACAAAAATATGCAACTGCATTTTGATAAAAGTTGTCCATATTTATCTGACAACTATTTAATTTTTCTATCAGTTGCAAAATTGCTTGTGTTGTTCTTCATTGCTTCAACAACTCAGGGTCGGCCCTGGCCTTCTCCAAGCATCTCTGCTTTTGGCAACTTTTTGTCTGGTTTTTTACCTTTAGAATGTTTTAAGTCATTTTTAACAAAATTGGTCTACCTCATCATGGGTCTACCCAGAGAGCTGATTCCTATGGGCTTTGCCAGAAAGATTTTTCTATAACACCGATCTTCACGCATTCTTGTCAGATGGCCAGCCCATGTAAATTTTTGTAGTTTGAAGAACATTAGGTTGTGTATAGATCTTTTAGAGTTCTAAATTTGGTCATCTCCATGATCCATTCTCTATGATTCAAGTATGCAACACAATATCCTCCTGTCAAAAATTCCCAAATATAATAAATACATCACATAAAAGTCAGCAACCAAGCTTCTGAGGCATAAGTCAAAGACTCTTGTGAAGAAGTAATTTAGTTCTTAACTTGAGAAAGCTGTATTTTAAATAGCTCTTCAGGCCATGAACATGTCTATTTGCAGCAGAGAATCTTTTTTATATTATTTCCGAAGTTATCTTATTTTTACAATTTATCTCTGCTTCCAGACAAGTGAAGCTATAGACTTTTCCAGTCTGTAACTACTAATTTCTAAATGACTAACTGGTAAGTCAGAATTTTGGTAAGGCATATATTTAGTTTTATTTTTGCATACAGTAAGAAAGGTTAAATCTTTTTGTACTTTTTTCAAATGGCACAAATGCTTATTGGAGAAATCAAGCAACTTTATTTGGTGTCTTATTTTAACCTAAGCCATTAATGCTTGCTCAAGAGCAAGTACAGTAAGCCATAATTAAATATTCGGTTAAAAATGTTTACTCAAGTATTGATCATAGAAACTCTAATAACTTTTTCAAGTGCAGTATTAAACGGTATGCCAGTGCATCCTCCTGTCTCACTTCATTCTTGACCTCAAATTGTTCTGTAAGGTCACCTAGTAAACAAATTTGTAACTGGGTTTCCTTAAGAGTCAAAGGCCACCAGTGCAACACATTATTCAGGAATATTTAGTTCACACATGGCCTCAATGAGTAATTCCCTTTTAATGCAATCATATGCAGTTCTGAAATCAATAAAAAGAGTGTATGTTTCAATTTCAAATTCCCTGTATTTTTCTAAAATCTGTCTTAGGTTGATAAATCTACTCAGTAGTCAGTCTTTCCCTCCTGAAGCTGCATTGATAATTGTCAGTCACGTTATTAACATAAGGCAAAAGTCTGTTGAAAAGAATAGTTGAAAGTATTTTATGGGTTGTGTCAGAATACTTTTTTTTCTCAAGTATTCATCATAGAAACTCAAATAACTTTTTCAAGTTCAGTATTAAACAGGAGGTATGCCAATGCATCCCCTTGTTTCACTTCATTCTTGACCTCTAATTGTTCTGTCAGGTTACCTAGTAAACAAATTTGTATCTTGGTTTCCATAAGAGTCAAAACCACCAGTCCAACAAGTTTTTCAGGAATATTTAGTTCATGTATGGCCTGAATGAGTAATTCCCTTTTAATGCAATCATATGCAGTTTTGATATCGATAAAAAGAGTGGGTGTTTCAATTCCAGATTCCCTTTATTTTTTCAAAAATCTGCCTGATTTTGAAAATCTGCTCAGTAGTCAGTCTTCCCCTCCTAAAGCTGCATTGATAATTATCAGTCGCATTATTAACATAAGGCAAAAGTCTGATAAGAGGTTATCATATCTAGATACGGTTCCTCGTAGATGGGACTTTTCTGAGAAACGAGATTCTGGTTGCATTGGTTTAAACCGGAGGATTCCTTGGGAAAAAAAAGCTCTGCTGGAAGCGAATTCCCACCTAGTTATGGAAACGATGTACTGGCTATGCGGGATTTTTTTAAACCTTGTCAATAATGTTTCAGTTTCATCTCCGTCTCCAGTAGCGATCAACCAATCAGACGAAAGTTCTGCTTCTGAAGGATCACATGATCCCAATCTGAGTGATAATTGATTACTGTTTAGAATTCAAGACTTTGTAGTAAGTAAAAATGGTAACCTAGCTACATGGGTTTCATGGAAA